GATCCATGGACAATGCGTGCTTCGCGTGGGCGGTGGTCGCTGCTCTGTACCCCGCGGAAAGACACGCGGAACGTGAATCGTCGTATCCGCATTACGCGACGGTACTGAACCTCGATGGCATCGAGTTTCCGGTAACGCTCAAAGACGTTGCGAAATTCGAGCGCTCGAACACGGTGTCGGTGAACGTGTACGGTATCGAGGACGGGGACGTCCTCCCTCTGCGGCTCACCGACTGCAAGAGGGACAGGCACGTTAATCTCCTATACGTGTAAGACGGCGACACAGGACATTTCGCGACGATCGAGCATCTGTCCCGCCTCGTCAGCACGCAGATTAACAAAAAGGGGCACAAGAAATATACACGCCGACCTAGAGTGCGCCTTGCGGAAGACGGAAGACGCTGCTGGGTCATCGTACGCGTACCAACGACACGAAGTGTGCAGCATAGCGTACTACGTGCACTGCTCCTACGACGACGCGTTATCCGAGTACAGATGTTGACGGGACAACGACTGCGTGAGCTGGTTCGCGCGCCAGCTAGAGACTTTGGCGCACCGCGTGAAGAACGCGATAACGATCAACCGGCCCATGGACTTTACGCGCGACGACTGGCGGAGATTCGACAGTGCGACGCACTGCCACATCTGCGAGAGGCCGTTCGCCCCGGGTGACGAGCGGGCGCGCGACCATTGCCATCTCACCGGACGATACCGCGGTCCAGCGCACAAGGGCTGCAACGTGAACTACAAGGACTCCCTGTACATTCCGGTTGTATTCCACAACCTATCGGGATACGACGCGCACTTCGTCATACGAGAAATAGCGACACAATTCCAGGGACAAGTGGATCTACTTCCTCTGACCAAGGAAAAGTACATTTCGTTTACGAAGCACGTGACAGACACCAGTGACAAAGATTCGCGAAAGTGCGTGAAACTACGATTCATAGACTCTTATAAATTTCTGAGTGCGAGTCTGGACAAATTGGCGTCGTACCTCGACAAGGACAAACTAAAAATTGTGAGATCCGAATTCCCGCACGTATCGGACGAAGACTTCGATCTGCTCACTCGTAAAGGAGTGTTTCCCTACGAGTACGTGGATAGCGTAGAGAAACTGGACGATACGCGCTTGCCGCCGCGCGAATCGTTCCACAGTTCGCTGACGGGCGATACCGTGTCCGAGAGCGATTATGCGCACGCCGAGAACGTGTGGCAGCGGTTCTCCGTGCGAACGCTCGGCGAGTACAGTAATCTCTATTTAAAAACTGACGTTCTGTTGTTGGCTGATGTGTTTGATAACTTTCGTAACAGTTGCGTCGCGAGTTACGGTCTCGATCCCGCGCATTATTACACACTGCCCGGTTTCACGTGGGACGCGATGCTGAAACACACGCGCGTGAAATTCGAGTAGCTCACCGATATCGATATGGTGATGTTCATCGAGCGCGGCATACGCGCGGACCAATAACAGGTACATGCAGTCGTACGACCCGTCGGAACCGTCGTCGTACCTGATGTATTACGACGTTAACAACCTGTACGGCTGGGCGATGTGTCAGCCATTGCCCTAAGTCGACTTTCAATGCGTCGACGACGCACACACTTTTGACTTTACTACCATCGCGTTGGATTCACCCACCGCGTACATTCTCGAGGTGGATCTTGAGTATCCGCGGCGTCTCCACGACGCGCACGCGGACCTGCCGTTCTGCCCGACGCGCGATAAGCCGCCCGGCAAGCGCGACGACAAGCTTCTCGCGACTCTGTACGATAAGCAGCGGTACGTCATCCACTACCGCAACCTGCAACAATGCACGCGTCACGGCCTTCGCGTAACGAAGATCCATCGAGTGTTGAGATTCGCGCAATCAGCCTGGCTCTGCGACTACATCGAACTGAACACGCAGTTTAGAACGCGTGCGAAGAACGATTTCGAGAAAAATCTGTATAAACTGATGAACAATGCGGTGTTTGGCAAGACGATGGAGAACGTGCGCGAACGCGTCGACGTTAAACTAGTGACGACGTGGGAAGGACGGTACGGCGCGGAGGCGTTGATCGCAAAACCGAATTTCCACAGCCGCAGCGTCTTCGCGGAAAACCTGATAGCGGTCGAATTGAGGAAACTCGAGGTGAAATTCGATAAGCCGATTTACGTAGGTATGTGCATCCTGGACATATCGAAAACGTGCTTGTACGAGTTTCACCACAAGTACATGGCACCGCTGTTTCGCGATAGATGCAAGATCATGTACACCGACACGGACAGTCTGATCTACCACATAGAGTGCGACGACGTGTACGAAACCATCAAACGCGACATCGCCAGATTCGACACGAGCGACTATCCCGCGAACAACGCGTACGGTATGCCTCTCGCGAACAAGAAGGTGCCCGGCCTCATGAAGGACGAGAACAACGGCGCCATCATGACCGAGTTCGTCGGACTCAGAGCGAAGATGTACGCGCTGCGCGTCGACGGAAAGAGGGACACGAAGAAGGCGAAGGGGGTGAAGAGCAGCGTCGCGTCGGAGCGCGGACGATATCGTTCGAAGATTACACCAGGTGCCTGAAGGAGGACATCGAAATGATGCGCAGGCAGGCGTGCATACGATCCAAGTTACATCGGGTGTACACGGTGTCGGAGAAGAAGATCGCTTTGAGTCCGTACGACGACAAACGGTACGTCGTACCCGACTCGACGAACACGTTACCGTGGGGGCATTACCGGATAGTGTAGCTCGCGAATCTATACACGCGTTTTATACATGTTGTATCGAGTGTTATGTATATAGTTTACCTGTACATATACCTATACTTGTACATATACTTGTATTTAGACTTTTATGTATTGAGTTTTACGTATTGAGTTTTATGTATTACAGGGAATCGTCTCCGTCGAAAGATACATCTTCGACGAAAAACTAAAGATACTATTGGGAGTTGCCTCCGTCGAAGGACAAGCCGACAAACCAAAGATACTATTGAGAGTTGCCTCCTTCGAAGGACAAGCCGGCGTCTTCAAACCAAAGATACTATTGGGAGTCGAAGGATCCTCCAAGGCAACGCCGTCGAAATACGTGCGTCCCCGAAGTCCTCCCCCTCCCCCGCCAGTAAAAGCGCGGGAGACGAGAAGTAAACACGTACGTTTCGTCGAACCTCCCCACCACTGAGCGCGGGAAGTCTTATCGGTACGAACAAAAACAATTCTTGGAATTGTTTGCGATACAAGTTCTCGGAACAAACAAGTCTTATCGGTACGAACAAAAACAATTCTTGGAATCGTTTGCGATAAAGGTTCTCGGAACAAACAAGTCTTATCGGTACGAACAAAAAACATTTCTTGGAATTGTTTGCGATAAAGGTTCTCGGAATTGTTTGCGATAAAGGTTCTCGGAATTGTTTGCGATAAAACCTGTCGCGACAGGTTTTCCCCCACTCTCTTCGATTTACCCCCCACTCCCTTCGATTTCAGAAAGCGCCATTTACTCGATCATTCTCGCTACGCTCGTCTGCGCGAACGGATCATGTTTGGCTTCTACTCCAAGATGGGCAGCCCTCAGAAGGAATCGTAAGTTTGTACTCTTCTTTTATTTTCCTTCGACTTTACTAATTACCGTCGTACGCAGGACGAAGCGTCGCGCGGTGCGCATTCTGAGTCGGCGTTACGACCTGACCGCAACGGGCTACAAGTTTCTGGAGATCGGCATCAACGTCGGTCCACCGAGCTACGTGGAGATCGTTCTGGGCGATTATCACGGACGCGAACTGTCCATGTCCCTCCAAACGTGGAAGGGTCTCTACGAGCAGCGACAGAATATCTACAAATTGCTGCGGAACGAGTACAAGGACAATTTTATAACCGTCGGACCGATTACGGCAACGATCTACGCGCACACCGATCTTACGCTCGTACGGCTCGAATCCCCAACCGTACACGTCACGATGATCGAATCTACGCTACGCCGTATGTTCGATCTCGACGGCTGCATCAACGTTACTTTCGAGCGATTGTCCCGACTCGTCGATACCGTCGACGTCAAGTACACGCGCTTCGCCAACGTCGCGAACGCTATAAGCGAGAGCGACGTCTTCGACATACGCCAGCTCGTCGATTGCGAGCTTCTCGCTTTGATTTTTAACGCGCAATAAAAAGAATTACTGTGTAACACTTTTTTTACTTACTACGTTGTACGAAAAATTATGAATAAAAAAATATATACTCTGCATATACTTCACGCGTACTTTCTTCCTAGCCTTTCTTTCCCCTCCCGCGCGTTATACTATAATTATATATTGCCTTCGAAACGAATCTGGGCGTTAGATGTATGCTTTACTACGCGAGATTATATTTGTAAAATAATCGACGCGTTACATAGGCCGTCGGCAACCTTACGGTAGCTATCAATCGGCGCGGCACCGGTGATCTCGGTTGTTTTTATATACAATAGATAGGGCCGTCGCTGCATCTCGATTGTTTTTATATATACATTAGATAGGGCCGAGACATTTCTCTCGCCGATGCATCTCGTCGTCAGTATTATTTCGTCTGTCATTTCGACAGTTCATCCTGACGAGCGGGATAAGTGAAAATTTCACGGAGACTAACCGCGCCGGATACCGTTCGAGCAACGCCGTTTTTGCGGGCATTGCATCACCCGTTCGTTTTCATATTTAAAGATTTACTTTTGCTCTAACCAACAGAGTGCGCGAGTGGTGTGCGTGCGTGTGTACGTGTGACATTAAACTAAAAAACAAAAACATGGGGCACCGTGAGCCCGGACGATTTTTCCTCGACCACGAGGAGGTGATGGAGGTGGCGATGGACATTGCCATCGAAATCGCCATGGAGGTGGCAGCGGAGGTAGCTATGGAGATTGAGAACCCCCCATGGCTACCTCCTACACCCCCCTCCTTCACCTCCTCCTATGGAGGACAATGACGTCGTCGTCATCGACGACGGGGACGACGGCGGGGACGGGGACGACGACGTCGTCATCATCGAGGAGGTGCGCGTCGTCGGTGAGGCAAATCCTCCCCCGATTGACCAGGTGCTAATGCACCACATGCAGGTGGGCACTGTGGAGGAATTCCTCCACCTCCTCGGCCACCTGCATGAGGAGTGGCGATAGGTCGTCGGGAGGGAGGGTTGCCGTTGACCACCGATGCCGCTGATGTGAGTAACAACATTTATTAATTTAATCCTTGCGGTCGTCGCGATGATGCATCGCCTGCATCGGCTGCTCTCGGCCGCCTTTTGTAACGGTATCCTCAGGGGGCAGCGGGGGGGACGGCGCGATAAGGCCGGCGGCCAGGGCCAGCGGTGGCCTTTTGTAACGGTATCCTGGGGGGACGGCATGATAAGGCTGCCCGGAGGCCCCGGCGCGGCGGCGGCGTGATAAGGCAGCCCGGCTCCCCCTCCCCTCCCCCGTACCTTCCCCGCGCACCTCATCCCCCCACCAGAGCTCCCGGGGTAGAACTCCCCTATATCATCTACTCACGAACATATTTAAAGTGTGTAAAATCACATACAGGATATTCGGCATGTGATAAATGTACTGTATATGGCGAACGTGTAAATGGACGCATAATTTTTCCATGTATGACAGATATTAATAAAAGGACAGATTTTTCATTTCGTTCACAAACAGATGAAGATTATCACTTGGGAACTTCTCCATTAACTAAATTGCCAATAGATTTGATAAAATGTTTCCCCATTGACTATTTACATAACGTATGTTTAGGAATTATGCGCAAGTTATTAAATACATGGATTAGTGGTCAACCATTATTAGTTAGATTAAGTGGTCATTTATTTAAACAAATTTCTGAACATTTACAACAATTAAGAATTTATATTCCTTTCGAAATTCATAGAAAAACACGGGGATTAGAACATTTATCTCGATGGAAAGGAACTGAACTTAGAACTTTTCTACTGTATGTGGGACCAATTGTGTTAAAAAATAATATTGATATAGCTGTTTATGAACATTTTTTACTCTTCCATGTTGGAATTTCTATACTGATTTCTGATAAACATATTTCAAAATTTTCTTTAAAATATGCTAAACAGATTTTAACAATGTTTGTTCAACATTCAAAAAAGATTTATGGTAAACAATTTTTAATTTATAATGTTCATTTGTTGAGTCATTTAACTGAAGATGTCGACAATTTTGGTCCTCTGGATAAATTTTCTACATTCTCTTTTGAAAATTACCTTGGTAAATTAAAAACGTACGTAAAAAGTCCTACTAAGCCTTTACAGCAAATATTTAGGCGTTTAACAGAAAATTATGCGTTGCCATCAAATAAAATTATACGTAATTCGCTAATAGAACTAAAATATAATCACAATTCAGGTTCATTACACACATCTGTTTTACATACAAACTGTAAACAATATAAGAAAGTAAATTTCCATGATGTAGCTTTCTCCATTGATTCAAGAGCTGACTGTTATTGTATGAAAATACCTTAATTCGAATTTTAAATACAATTCAACTAAATAACAATATATTTTTTATCGGTAATGAATTTATAGGTTGTGAGCCATTATATAAATATCCTTTAGATTCTAGAAAGTTAAAAATTTGTGTTTGCCACACAATTTCAAAGGAAACTAAAATCTGGTCAATAAATTCAATAACAGCAAAGTGTATAAGTGTTTCCATATTATAAGAAATCTCGAAATTGTTGGGTTTCATTCCCATTAATTCATTCGATTCTATAGATTTCTAGCTATTTATAACTATTGTTATTACCCTCTTTTAACACTTTATTTTTTAAGTAAAGATTTTTAATATTTCGTGCATTGAAAATATATATATATATGTGCATTATTCAATATTATATAAAAAACGCGAAATTTTATTTCTATACTCGGATGTACTCGGATGTAAATATTTCCATTTTATAGTATAATTTTTTATTGTATAGTTTTTATAAATGTGTGCAAAAAAAGAACTTCTATTTGTTTAATATAACAATTATATTTACAATAAGATTTAGTGTAATAATTTATAATATATTAAATCGGTTATACAGTCGTATATTTAACGTTATATGTTTATAATATATTTTAACAGGAATTAATAATGTGTGTGATATATATAATATTATAATTATTACATTATATAAGATTTTATTATACAACAATATATGTATATGTATTTGTCACATAATGGCAATAAATAATTTAAGAGTAGGAAACTTGTGTAGATTTATGCATCTTTATTTTTTCGCAAAAAAGAATATACATATTAAATAATGTCTAGTGCCTTAATTTTTTTCGAAGAAATGTTCAGAATTGGCATTCATATAATATACATACATATATATATATATATATATATATATATGTATATATATGTATATGTATGATTGGTACAAAAAGTTGAAGTAAAATAGTTTGTTCGTTAAATAAAAATATATAGTTTTTACTTCAACCAATTGCACCAGTGTACATCAATTCAGAATAACGCATTAATTCTTCGACAAATAACATATGTATATCTAACGTGTATATAACATTATATAATTATATAATCATTCTTATGATAAATCTGATGTTTAAGATAACGTACAAACATAATAAAAATGGTATAAATTTATCACATCCATTTACAATGTCATAAAGTCAACATCGTGTTATGCGTGGCCTGCAGTTATAATGTTAGCTAACAATCTAACGTTATTTATCGTCAAAATATTGACAAATAACATCAAATTGCTAACGAATATTAAGCTGACCATCAATAACATGAAAATGATAACGTATTTTTGACATCATGACAAACCAATGTAATTTTTACTATGTTTAGACGTCATCTTAAATGTAGTTCAATTTTGTAATAAGAATGGATAATTAATGACGTCAAATAGACGACACCTAGCTACCGTCACTAACACGAAAAAAATAACGTCTTTTCGACGTCGCCTTATGTGTACCTGTGACAAATCCACGTCATTTTTACGATGTTCAAACGTCATCTTAAACATCAGATTCTTCATAGAAATGACTAATTAATGACGTCAAATAGACGACACCTAGCTACCGTCATAACACGAAAAAAATAACGTCTTTTCGACGTTGACTTATGACGTTATGTACCTGTGACATATCCACGTCATTTTTACGATGTTCAAACGTCATTTTAAACGTCACATTCGTCATGAGAATGATTAAATAATGACGTTAAATAGACGACACCTTGCTACCTGGGGTAGGAGCGATAAAGAATGATGCGTAATATTTCTGACGTGTAAGAAAACAATTTACTCACCTGGTCGAAGAGGATGGACGGCGTCCGACAATTTGGCTATATCGGCCGCATCGTAACGAACAATTTCGGGGATCTGCAGGTAAGAGCCCAAAAAATAGGAAACCACGTTCCTGGTGTATCCCACCTCCCGTTGCACGCGTATTTTACTACTATCCGGTGAAACCTCGTCTGGTAACGACTTCCGAAATCGTATTACCGTGCGCTCCTAAAAGACGAAAAAATAAACCCAATAAAGCTAGACAACCGCATATTTCGAAGCGCTTTATACAAACTCTTTTGACAAATGTCGAATGGTGTAATGTCAATTCTAAATATATGACGAATATCATTAAATTTTTATATAATTTTTTTTTAAATTTGTTAAAGATGTCAAAAACTAGTCCTTGAACGAAGGATTTCTTAATTTGCTCAACAGTTTTTTTTTATATTCACCAAAAACAAACAAAATTTTTATTAAAAATTGAATGTTCACGTTCAAATGTCTGCAACTTCTCTATTATTATTCTTTCGTAAATTTTTTCGTTCAAGGAGTAGATTATTGAATATATTAAATGAATATTTTTGGTTTCTTATTTTAGATTACTCAAAACCGAGTAATAATGGTCATTGCAAACCTCCTATCGCCGATAGTCACCTGACAAAATACCTGCCACGCTCACAATTCACATTTTTAAATGTAAAATATAAGATTTGTAGTCTGGACGCAGCTTAAGATGTACACAGAAAGATAGAATAAGCATTTTTAAAGTCTTAGTTTTTGATTAAAAAACAAATTCCCAAAAATTCCTCCTTTTTCATCCTCCTGACTAGTAGTGCCCCTTTAAATCAATCGTTAACCGAATTACCTCCTATTGAATTTACTCACATCAATCGTCAATTAAAGAGTTTGGATTAAATTTGTTTCTATTGATTGTAAATTAAACTATATTTAATTAAATTTTCTCATATCAATTGTCAATTAAATAATTTTTAATAATTTTTGGCTTTTTTAATTATTGTATTAATGGAAAATATTTAATTGATAAATATGACCATCTCTGACTGCCTAACGAACAAACAACCCCGCATTTCTAAGGGGCCTATTATATAGTGTATAAGGTGACTTGCGTTATCACGAACAGATCAATGCCTTCCAACCTGGCGACAACGCAGCCGGCGATTATGTAGGTCGACTTTATGAAAAATTCTCGGGTTAAAGATAACAGCCGAGCCACTCTTGATCGTTGTTTCCAAGCACACTCAATTTGATCATCGTTGCAGCCTTTATAAATGCTATCGATCAATCAACGAAGTCGAGATTCTGGGACATTACAAAAATTCATTCATTCAAACTTTCTAATGTTCGCTTCCAAAAGTAATTTTACTGACTCTCCAACTTACTGACTCAAAACCAAATCCTATGAAAGGGGGCGAGTGAGAATGCCACGTTGTTGTTGGTACACAATCAATTAAAAATAGACCCCTCGAAATTCTTTATTATTCATCAATACAATTAGTACGTTTCGATTCTTTTTGAGTCCTCTTCAGCTAATATAATGAGCAATTCTCCCTTTTGGATTTTGCAAGTAATCACAACGAATTGAAAGATTTGATGCTATATATCTTGCAAACCTAAAAAAAACATCAAAATTGAAAATATGGATCAATTGTATCATATTGGAAATATATTGCTACTATTCTTTGAATACATGATGTATATAATATTCATATTGTTAAAAAGAATAAGAAGTATGCTTATATATTTGTTTCAGTACTTATTGTTAAACTAACTCATTTGCCCCTTTTCATAGGATTTTTTTCACTGCTTTCCTTGTGCAATTGATTCACTGGTAGTTGATTTTTTCGAAAGGCTTTTAGGCTATAAAAAAAATTTGAAAAAATTCTGGTACTCTTCCGATATTCAAGAATACGATTTTACAATGATATGACCTGAAACGTTTTCCATTTTTTTTTTGTACATGTCCGTTGAGGTAGAATAATTAAAAATTAAAAATTTACCTGGAATTTTAAAACCTCGGTTGGACCATGGAGGAGTTAAGACAATAATGGCTCGATATTCGAGTAATCGTTTTCTTTTATGTTTTATATTCGTTCTCTCTTCCATTATATATTTTCTCACACTCTAAAATTAATAGGAATACTGACGGTTTTAGGACATCATTTTTCAAATAATCCGAAACCTTTTAGATAGAATGCGTAAAGCAATTAACCTTCTGTCTGAAATTAATATTTTTACTTTTTCAGCCAAGTTTTTCTATTGTTCCTTAGTAAGCTAAAAAAGGTAATAAAAAATTAATGTTAAAATATCGAAGCAAAATCAGAAGTTTTATAAAATAAATATTTGAAATCTCTTATCTATAGAATTACATGATAGAATAATCAGTTCTTCTTTAATAGAAATAGAAAGTAAAAAAAAAGAACGTAAAGTGATACCTTTAACTTATTTTCGTAAAATATTTATTATCTGAGAATTTTTGAAATTTCAAAGTTTATGATTTCTTTTATCTGAATATGGATAAGAGAAATAAGAGATTGTGAGCATTAAAGGTTGCAATATAATCATAAAGTTTAAGGAGTAAACATTTAGCCTCATTTTCACAATATATGTATAGTTACCTAAAGATATTAATGGTTATCATGAAATTCATGAATAAATTTCATTGATAAATCTTTTAGTAATCTTCAATCGGGTAACCAGCAGGGATGGGAAAGTTACTTTGTAAAAGTAATTATAATTACAGTTACAGTTTTTCTCTTTTAAAAAGTAATTAATTACCGTTACAAGTTATTGACTCTGAAAACTAATTCGTTACAGTTACTTAAAATTTAACATTTTCATTACATGTGCGTCGAAAGTGGCTCCTTCCCGCACTCTTTGCGGTGCAAAAAGCCATTTACCGACAACCGAAAGTAGTCACTTCCCGCGGTCTGCAGTGCGAAAAGTAACGTCATGTGTGCGACAAGTAGCGCCACGAGACTTTCGACACAGCTGCACACAATTATCGACAGCAGTTTGGGAAATCGCTTTCCCCCTCCAAGTGACCGCTGCGCTCGGCGAGCTTCGGCTAGCCTCGGAGCGCCAAACAGCACTAAGCGAGAACACTAAATGAAATTCTATCTACTTGCGTTGCGGAATTACCATATCGTTCTCCTACTCATGTTATGTCCACGTAACTAATTTTTTCCGCAATATATCGATCATGCGATGTAGCGCCGCCTTTACATGTAAATAACCCAAGAACGCGTTGACGAGAGCGTCGTCACGCAAGAACCTGCCTTAAAATCCCCTCCTGCTAAGCATCCTTCCCTGTTGCGCAAGCATCCCCTCTTGTTGCGCAATAGATCCCAAATTGCGTAGGAGTAGGGCGACGGACTCTCAAACCTTTTTCGGGAAGCGCCCCTCTCGCTCTCTGGTTCCGGCTCTCCAACTGTGCGGATCGTTTTCTCTCCTGGGACACCGCCTGCAACGCCTTTGTGTAAGGACCACGTGTAGCATTTCATTTTCTTCCAAATCCATTTTTCACAACCAAACTTAAATTCGTTTCGGTTCCTCTTAAGCATAATAAATCTAATCGATAACTACTCAAAATTAATTCTAATTTTAAGTGAACTAAATAACATTTTTCCTATTCCTTTAGCGTCATAAATTTAATTAACACTTACGCAAAATAAATTCTAGTTAAGCGAAATAGTAATATTCTTTTGGATTACTAATATTTTAGTAAATAGAAATTTAAATAATAATATTAGCAATTTATAATAATTCGATTTAATTGTTTGTTTCGGTTTGATTTGAGATGTAATTGAAGCAAATTAGTTATAAAATATATGTACCCGTATTTTTATAAAAATCAAACGAAAATTGTTTAATACTCCTGCTATCGCTTCCATCCCATTTCCTTTTACTTTGAACATGAGGTCTTCGAAGCATCGATTGAGTACTCGAATTTACCAAGGAAGGATCCCAGACGCACCATAAAACGCGTCACCATCAGCAGGTTAACAGGTAACAGGTAACGATCGGAGTTTTCTAAATCTCCAATAGTAGCATTCAACGCGTTGACCACGTGGGACACCACGTCGCCATATCAGGGCTCAACCATTGCATTCCAACGCGTCGCCGCGCGCATCCGTCGCATCACCGTTTTGGAATCTCGATTCTGTCGACTATCGATGCGACTGCACTTCTCATAAATTCATCGACGTGCCATGCAACGGTGTCATGTGCCCTCCTCAAACGCCGCGTGGTGAGCTAGGCAACGTGCTCGACAACGATACGTACCATGCATGGATTGTCGATTCTCTCTGCGTAATATCGCGACTCTATTTGCATCGCACCAATCGAACGACATTTTGCGACGGCTGTTATAATTTAGAAGAATCCCGCGCACGTTCCGAATATTATCTCACACGACGTCATTGCCTGCAATTTGGTCTGCCGCGTGAGTTCGAAAAGTGCGCGAAGTGTTCCGCGTTGCTTCCCTCCACGCAACCAATCACCGATTGCGGCACGTGTTCCGTATTACGAGGGGATTTCATATCATACTTAATCAGGATCGGTGACCATCGATGGTATGACGCCGGGGCTACAATACTTTTTATTTCACAATCCCGCGTGTAAAATCGTCTAAGGAATTTTGTAACGCAGTAGAGGACCGCCGGGCCGTAACAAACTGGTGACAGCGGTGGAATTCCGGTAATTTTATCCCCACACGCCTTATCATGAATACCCGCTCGAAAAAGGGAGACGAAGGCGCGACCGCAAAGCTTAATGAGGATGAGTTGGAGGAACGTATTAGGAATCAAGGTACCGCGTTAGACAGGGAACGCGCCGAAGTCGACAGGGAACGGTCTTCCACCGAACCCGTGAGGCCGAAAACGCGCGGTTACGTAACGAGCGAGATGTAATATCACAGGAGCGCGAAGCTCTCAATAAAGAAAAGGAAAATGAAGGAGCGCGCCGCAATAACGACGATGCATTTTCAATCTTGAGGGACGAAGTGAGACGCGAAATGTCTGACCTACGCCGGGCGATTTCCGAACGGAACGACGCCTCGTTTAATTATGAGTTTCCTGCGGGCCAACGTTTCTCGGGAAGTCAGGAGCCTCCCTTGCCGAGCAGCTCCGTAGCCGATTCCGCGCAACCTCCCCCGATATCCCTCCGAGAGGCCACCAACAGTGTGCCGTGGTTCGACGGTTATAACG